TGTGTGTGTGTGAATGTGTCGCTGTGTGTGTGTGAATGTGTCTCTGTGTGTGAATGTGTCTCTGTGTGTGTGGACATGTGTGTGTGACTGTATGCGAGTGAATGTGTGTACCTATGTGAGAGTGTGAATGTGTGTATCTGTGTGACAGCGTGAATGTGTGAGTGCATGTGTATCTGTGTGACAGCGTGAACGCGTGTCTGTGTGTGTGAATGTGTCTCTGTGTGTGTGAATGTGTGTCTAAGTGTGTGTATGTGAATGTGTGTCAGTGTGTGTCTGTGTGAGAGCCTGAATGTGTTTCTGTGTGTGAATGTGTGTCTGTGTCAGTCTGAATGTGTGTGTGAGAATATTTATGTGTTTGTGTGTGTGTGAATGTGAATCTGTGTATCTATCTGTATTCATGGGTATCTGTGAATATCTCTGCCTGCGCGTCCAGATGGCTGCGGTATCTATTTCTGTGTATGTGTATACCTGTGTATGTGTGTGTGTCTGAGTACCTGTGTGTATATATCTGTCTGAATCTGAGTAGCTGTGTAGGTGGGCATGTGTTTGTGTGAATGAGTGTGTCATTGTGTGTACCAGTGTGTGTAAAAGTGAGAGAGGCAACAGTATATTTGAATCTTTGCACTGCGCGATAAAGTAAATGCAGCTGGGGCAGTTCGACATTCTGAGTTGACTGGAGAATTTGAAGACTTTGCAAAGACGAAGCAACGGCGAGAATGGCTTTTCTTGGTGAATTGTGTTGATGCGTGTGAAATGGAAATACTGTTTTCAGGACCCTCCGGGTGATCGAGGTAGTGGGTACGGTGGGGTCGGGGTGAGCTCAGCTCTTGTCCAGTTGACACAGAAGGAGACAATGAGCAGCTTGGCGCGGGCAGTCTGAGAAACATCTCTCAAAGTGATACATGTTGTTTCGACAATCTCGCGGTGAACTGTAGCCTGCTGATTACATGTAGCAGCACTTCAATATTAAATATCGCTGAGATTCGCTGTAACAATGCAACTTGCATCGTTAGAGATAATCTGGCTATTGTGTTGGCTATTTCTAATCTTCAGGAGGTATTAAAACATCCAGACTGTATTCGCGCATAATGCCCAAGGTGAGACTGGGATTGGACTGGAATTTTATTCACTCCGTTTCTGGAAAGGACAGCTTCCCTTTTTAGCTGTAAAATAGAGTGGAATCCCGGTGCTCAGTTAGAAAGCAGGTTTTCTACCGCTCGCTGTTTTGCTTTTCACTTTCTCTCCCCGTCTTATTAGCACGCGAACGGCCCAGAAAGGCTTTCAGGGTACTTATTTTGGTGAATATCCAGGGACGGGAATAAATAATTTGTTATTTTGTTGGCGAGCCCTCCGCCCCCAAGGTTAGCCTGAATCTGGGATGGCCTCATTACTGCAACCAGTGCTTGTGAAGCCGCTTGTTGAGGAGCTCCAGGAGGTGCCTCTGTGACTTCATTAACACATCGCTTTCAATGAGTCGCCTAATGAGGGTCTCCGGGGAGATGCGGGCTTCACATTCCCAGCTCCACCTCCCACCTTCCCCCACCCCACCCACCTCCCCGAAGCCGTTTCAAACCCATTTGCCTGCCAGTCACATCCTCAATTCGTCAAACACCCGGCAGCAGGGAGACGGTCCTTTCTGCACAATAAGAGTGAGCCTGGGGAAGAGGGAGAGATGGTGTAGTTACAGGGAATCCGGGATCCTAACCACTCCCTAGATCCTGCCTGATTCTATCTCACTTCTAGGAGTTCCCCATTTCCAAGAAGATTCCTGGTTGGTACTGAAGGGGCGCTACATTCAGCCAGAGCTCTCTGTGTTTGGATTGAATGAATGAATTATATTTTATTGTCATGTGTATTTTACAATCAGTGCAATAAAATGCAGCGAAAAGCTTCCATTTCTTGCCATAATTTGGTGCCACTTTTGATAATTTAAGAATAAAGGGGGGGAAATAGAAAGATATAGCCTAAAGAGTGTCCATCACTCCTGAGCTTGCTCATTACCATCAATAACACCAACTCCACCATCCCTCTGCCACTGTCTGAACCAGACCTACCGAACGTCGATATCGCCAATCCACAGACTCCATCGTTCACTGCTGGGCCGATTTCCCCTCTGCCCCTGCCTCGCTGCCACCTGTGCTGGACCCACCAATGTCAAAATCGTGTCTCTTGCCACTAGGCCCACCTCATCGATGTCACCATGATGCCCTTCCAACCGCCACTTTATTGCTGCCAGCATTGGACCCAACCAATGATAAAGTCACCGATCCTCAGGCACCATCTTTCGCCGCTGGACCAACTCACCTTTGTCATCGCCTCGCCACCACCTGTGCTGGACCCACCTGAGGTCAAAGTCACCAATCCTCAGATGCCATCTCTCACTGCTGGGTCTACCTCACCGATGTCACCTGCACCAATATAGCAACCACAGATTCCAATGGAGGATTGTCTCCCTGTTAACGGTGAATTCCTCACTGAGAACCTTCAGGCCAGGGACTGGGGAGGGGGAGAGTGAAAGTAAGGGGGTAGGGGTAGTTTCTCCTAGCACCTTCTCAATCATTTGTGTTTGAGTGTGGGAAGTTGGGCTTAGGCAGTATGGGAGTGGTGGATATGTTGGAGTTTGTGGGAGTGGTGATTTAATGGGTTGGTGCTGGATAGATGTGGGGCTAGTGGTGGTGGTGAGGCAAGAGGACAGCTAGGGAGATGGCTGCAGATTCTGAGATACAAGTGGAAAGTGAGGAAATTCACCAGAGCTCGATATTAGCTAAAGCAGAATGGGCAGATGGACAATTTCAAATCCTCAGCCTTGTACTGTGTATCACTGCAACCCTGAGAACACAGTTGGAGCATTGTCTTCGTGCAGTGTGCTCTAAGCTTTGCTTACTGAATACTTAAACCTTCTGCGTTGTGACATTAGTTTGATCATTCTGTGATACAAACTAAACCAAGAGACTGTGTGCATTTATGCGTATGTTTGTCTATATGTGCAAAATGCTGTGTGAGTATTATTTCTGAGATTGTGTGTGTGCGTGTGTGTGCGCGCGCGTGTGTGTGTGTGTGTGTCTATGTCTCCTCCTGTGTGATTGGATATGTATTTGGCTGGAATGTTCTGGCTCTGTGTGTCTACGAGTTTGTAAGATTTCTAACTGATTTCACAGCTCAAGCAGTTAGTGGTTGTCTGCAGTTCAATGTAACCAATTGAGTTGTGAGAATATTGCTGGATTATTCGCTGAGAAGGAATTGGGTATGGATCTCAGTCTGCATGTGTCCCTGAATCATTGATGCATGGAATTTTACGATTAGATTGAGTTAAATGTAATTTGAGGAGAGGTGGACTATTACGTGTGATATGGAGACAGCGGTAGGAATTAACCAGGGAAATTTCACTGCTGTCATGCACATTGTTTAAGTTGCCCTATTTGAAAGGTGAAGGCAGGGGCTCAAATTCACTTTCAGCCTTCAAAGTGCCCTTTAAACATTAAAGAACAAATCCATGTTATGTCATAACAGTATTGATTATTGAATGATTTCCCTGGCGACATGACCGCACAATCTTAAAGGGGATCATTCCCATCATCCCATCCAGAACAACAAAAACATGTCTATCGAGTGCCTTTATGAAGATAAAATTGTTTTGAAGCAAAATCTGACATGAAAATGTGCAGGTTGCTAAAAGTTTGGTCAAAGACATAACTTTAGAGGAGCATCTTAAAGATGAACAAGACAGAAAGGTTTAGGGAAATAATTCCAGAGCTTGGAGCTATGGCTAAGGCTAGTTGTGAAGTGGTTAAAATCAGAGATGCTCAAGAGACTAGAATTAGAGGTATGCAGAGATCTCTGAGGGTTGGAGGAGATTACATAAATAGAGAGAGGCAAGGCAGTGGATGCTTTCCTTATTGCCATGTCTAAAAATGTGCAATGTAATATTTAGTTATCAGTTCGAGACCAATTTAATGACACACAGACCATGGTCATGAAAGTTGTGGAGTATCCAGTTTATTTTTGCACCTCATGCCTATAATTTGTCGACTTGCCATGTATTCACATAAATTGCTTTTGAATTCATTTACCAATGTATAACTTGCTGCTGGTAGAATTTCAATTGCTGAAATTGACCCGAATTGCAGAGTAGATCTGCAAGAAGTGACTGCGGTTCTTAAAAAAGAAAGTGTGGGGAAATTAATGTTTTTTTAAATG